CAGGACAAGTCCTTTGCATGCTGTATGTTTTCTCATCAAGTAAAATGATCACAGACATAACCTGTAGATTACATCAACACTAACGTCATAATAGGGTAAATGAAGTAATATTAAACTGAATAAATGGGGAAAAAATCATTTACATAATAATGCTTTATTAGGTTTATTAATCAGAACTACTGTAAAAGCAGAAATATTCGTTGTAGATTAAATTTCATTCATTTCGTTGTTACATTGTAACATCAAAGAAATAAAATCCCTCACGAAATTTTTATATGACTATATATTGAGTAGAGTTACTTTTGAAACAAGGAAAATTAATGCCAATGAAATCTTTTTAGATGACAAATCTACGAAATTTTATCCCCACATTAATTTGTGCTTCTACAGTACTTCAAACTGAAAAAAAAACAAGTACCTGTTCATTTCTTGTCAAAATCGTTTGTAAATCAAATGTAAAATCGCATTGTGTTGCTGACCTATCAAGCGACTCCAATCGACTTACCTGAGCAAGTCGAATGAAAATCGAATGAAAAATCGCATCGTGTGATCGCACCTTAAGATGTGCTTAATAACCATTGTTATATATTCATGTACATTGTTCAAAATATTACTATGTTCTATTGCTTCTGTTCTAACGGCACAAGCTATTTGTTTTTTTTTTTTTGTTTTTTTTTTAAGACACTAAAGGATTAGCTTAAAGACAGAAATAAATACTGGTAATTAAATTTAACAATCTCAATACTGAATTTTGATGGTCACTGCTTTAAAGCTTTAAAAGCCTAAATAATTCAAATAGAAACATTACGTAATGATATTTTTATTCAATACTATACAAGGATTCAAAGTTATTAAAAACTCATAATTCGTGTATATTTGAATGTTTTAAAATGTACAAGTGAGGTTTTTGGATCGAAGTTTCCCGGTTGCGTTGTCTTTGACGTGAACTTTCCCCAATTTCAACTTTTTCTTTAAAACCATTTGGCTAATTTCAATCCATCCCGCCACAAAGCATTCTTTGGTAAAGGAAATCAAATTTGTTTAACTGAAGGGCCACATCCTCCTTTAAGCGGAGATAATTAAGGATTTCTGCACCAAAGGCACCTTGTCCTTCGTCCAATTTACAGGCAAAAATTTCTATACTAATCAAAATGGCATAATTACTCATTGATGTTCAAGCATCCTCAGATGGTTATGACTCAAGTTTGCTCAAATCAGAGTCACTTGAATTAGGTTTAGGCGACAAGAGGGGATCAGGATTTTACAATGAACTTTTAAGGAAGAAAATCTTTTTAAATATGATAAGGCCACACAATCTAAATCCCAGGATGCTTCGACATAAATTTCAGCTTTTGTGGACCAGAGGTTTTTTTTAGCATTTTTTTCTATAAATTTCAATGTAAAACTTTGATTCAATAATGTGGCCCCATCCTACCCCCGGGGGTCATAAATTGAACAATTTTGAATTTACATTACGCCAGTATGCATCCAATTAAGTTTCAGCATTTCTTGCCCAGATTTTTACAGATTTTTTTCATATATATTTCAATGTATAAATTGGGTTCCCTATTGTTGCCCCGCCTTACCCCGGGGGTCGTGATTTGAACAATTTTAAATCTACCATACCCCAGGATGCTTCGACATAAGTTTCAGCTTTTCAGGCCCAGTGGTTCTTCAGAAGAATTTTTTTTCTATATATTTCAATGTAAAAAATGGATTCCCTATTGTGGCCCCGCCCTACCCCCGGGAGTCCTGAATTGAACAATTTAGAATGTACAGGATGCTTCTAAATAAGTTTCAGCATTTTCTTGCTCAGTGGTTCTTGAGGAGAATATTTTAAAAGATTTTTTCCTTTATATTTTAATGTAAATATTCGATTCCCTATTGTGGTTCCGTCCTACCTCCGGGGGTCATGATTTGAACAATTTAGAATCTATATTACCCAAGGATGCTTCCGCATGAGTTTCAGCTTTTTTGGCGCAGTGGTTCTTAAGAAGAAGATTTTTAAAGATTTTTTCCTATATATTTCAATGTAAAAATCGATTCTTTATTGTGACCCTCCCTACCCATGGATGTAATGAATTGAACAATATAGAATCTACACTATCCCAGGATGCTTTCATATAAGTTTCAGCATTTCTGGCGCAGTGGTTCTTAAGAAGATTTTAAAATTTAGTTTCTATATATTTCAATGTAAAACTTTGATTACCTATTGTGGCCGCGCCCTATCTACGGGGTCATGATTTGAAAAATTTAGAATCTACACTATCCTAGGATGCATCCATATAAGTTTAAGCTTTTCTGGCCCAGTGGTTCTTGAGGAGACGATTTTTTAATTACCCCACCCTGTTCTTGTCTTTTGTTGATTATCTTCCCTTGTAAGAGGCCTTCATTTTAACAATTTAAACTTCTCTTTACCCGAGGATGCCTTGTACATGTACCAGCTTTGGTTAAAATTGGCTAAGTGGTTCTTGAGAAGAACTTGAAAATGTGAAAAGTTTACAGACAGACGACGGAAAATGGGTGATCAGAAAACTCACTTGAGCTTTCAGCTCAGGTGAGCTAAAAATACGTGTATTGGTATACATACACTATCATTTTGTTTGTTTGTTTGTTTGTTTGTTGTTTAACGTCCCTCTCGAGAATTTTTCACTCATATGGAGACGCCACCACTTGCCGGGCTGCAAATTTTGTCCTATACTCGGCACTTACGGCCATTGAGCAGTGAGAGATCTTTTTCGTGCCAGCACCTACTGCGACACGGGACCTCCATTTATACAGTCTCATCCGAAGGACCGGTTCTCCACGTCCCACAGTGGGATTCGAACCCGCAACGAAAGGATGAACTCCTTACTTCGCGACTCTAGAGCAGACGCTCTAACCACTGCGCCACGCGGGCGACCTATCATTTTGTAGTTGTTAAGATGCATGTTTATATCCAGGATACTTAATATTATAGCAAAATCTGTTCGTAGGGATAAATTTTATATATATATATAAATATCTTCCTACAGAAATTATCTTTATAAAATATCAAAGAATAATGAGGAAAATGACTGTAGTTATAAATGAGGGGTTATTAAGAGAACATAAATTGGGAATTCCACTGAATTTAAACTGCGTTGCATGAAACAAATATACATCTAAGAATAACATTTTTTTCATTTCACTGTTTAAATATTCTATACAGTAAAGAAACTCATGACTCGATCTACATCTTTCAAATATGAATGGAAAATGAACAGATATTATTCATTAAAATTAATATACCTATCATAACCAAATGTTTTTGTAATTCGCAATGACATTGTCAGTAGCTTGATCATTTTATTGACCAGGTTATCCTTATTTCTTACAGTCGACCAGGACTAGGAAGTAAAACATATATTTACTTATAGTGGGTCATTTGGCAATATATATAATAAACAACAAGGTTGTAAACAAATCCGGCCCTGTTTTTTTTTCTCTAAAATATGGAATTAATACAAAAAATTAAAACGCATACTTTCTGAATCATTGAAATTCCATGTAGTAAAAACATACAAATCATTTTTCACATATGACCTCCTAAATGCTAATTGTGACCCCAGGAACTTGTGCATTTTCCCGTATTTTGAAAAAGCAACATATCCGAATACATGTATTGAAGTGAGCGACGGCTCGGGACACAGTATTCTTAAGGGAAATAACCCCTGGAATGAGTCATTTTGAAGCTTTTTCTGTTTAAAATTTTAAAATGTTTCAAATTAATGACGTCATCTTTTCAGAATGGCCCTCGTTCATACCATATTCTTTTATGATTTATCACATTCAAATACTCAACTCATATTTAATCTAATTTCATAACCTCTTGAAACCATCAAATTTTAAAGGTCCATTAAATTCCAAACCGTACCTTCTTGAATTTGATTTTTGTTTTCTTTATAAGTCCTTTCCCTTGTTATCCGATTTCTCTCTAAAGTCGTCTAACGATGACATTTACTCCTCCACTATTCAAACTTCCAGCCATAGATGACACAGAATCTTGAATGTGACGTCCACACAAAGCTTATGACCTACCACGGAATCCCATCTCAGAAAAGACAAGTCATCTTGTTTCAGACGATCCCGTCACCTCATACAGGCAGGTAACAGAAAAAAGAGACACACAGTCTCTCCACATGACCAAGGAGCAATCTGATTACTGCATCTCAGGCCTTCTTGATCATACCTCCCACCCGAGAACACATTTACATGCAGTTATCATCCAGCCCTGATTTCTAGTGCAGTGTGGTAGAGGTTCCTCCTAGAATACTTACTAAGCTACCCAACCTTCTGGAATACTTGTGGGTATCATCTAGAAGAGGTCTGCCAAGAATACCTTCCATTTCCACCAGGGGCATGCAAAAAGAGTTTTGGGGATTTTGTAAAGTTATTTTATTTTAGTTATTTTATTTTTTCATGGTGCATTACAGAGTAATGTAAGCAAATCAATAATATGAATTTTAAATCCCAAACAATTATCAAAATCTTTTCCACTGTTATACAAATAAATCAAAAACTTTTGTACTTTTAAATAAATATAACTAAGCCCTGTATCTTTGCTATAACCCTCCATCATGTAATATATCTAACATATATATCCAATATTGAGAAAAAAAGTAATACATGTCATTCATCGATTATCTAAGTTAAAAGAATTAAAGTTTAATAAAGACAGATTTGTCTTTATACAAAGCATTTTACTTGTATTAAAGTAAAGGGAGTCAGGATTGTGATTGTTTCGATAAGACACATATAATTCAAAGAGTAAATAGAGTGAAGTAGTGTCCACCATATTAAACATTTAAAATATGCAGTAAACTTATATTAAAATCATTAGTACTTGCATGATTAATAACAATAAGATTTAATAAAAATACACTTTAGTCAAGAAAAGCTAATAAATTATTCTGTAAGATGAAGACGTTTGGATGTACTAGTAAAATCAAATAACATTTTATCAAATAAGTGATGCCTGATTGTCTTCGGTATGTGAATCCACTAAATTATTATTGATTTCACAATTTTGTATTTAAAAAATCGAGCTTATCAAAATGTCACAAAGTTTATAATCCATTCTTTTCCTTTAAAGAAAACAAAAGTTAGCTTTGTTGAGAGTTTTCTTTCTTGTTCTAGTTAGCAATTCGCATACACGCAGTCGTTTTGAATGTATTCTACAACAGCATCATAACAAAGCTGGTATTCGTCCTGAAAAATAGAAAATGTATACAACATATTAATTAAATTAGCATAAAAAGTAAATATTTTGTTATCAGCATGAATATTCTGTTCTATGCAATGACGAGATTGTAGATGGTGTTAATTCGCTGCTAGCTTTCATTATGCAGAAGGACAAATAAAGATGTACATACCAAAGTTGACACAAACTCCGGTCTACGGATCTGAAGTTGACGTGTGATGGTGAAGATGTCTACTTCCTGATCCATTGAGAGTTGTTCCAGAGCGTTAAAAACCACACAGAATGCTCCACAACGTGCGGCTCCATCACTATAAAGTAATAGCATTAAAACAATATGATTAAATTTTTGCAAGAAAAAAACCTTTAAGCTCAAAAACATAGTAATAGATGCTTTTTATCATAAAGATTTTGAACTCAATGTTGAAAAGCTCTATAGGAGAGCCTGAGTCAAAAAATTTAGAAGTGGCCTATTGTTGAAAATCCTAAGCTTCACAAAAAGCTCCATACAGTTAGGAGCCATCACTGTAAAGATATTAACATCACAATATTTTTTGTACTTTTGCCGATAATCTTTTATTTCAAAGATATGAAAGTCATGAATTTGTTTGTTAGTTTTTTTTTTTTTTTTTTTTTATTTTGATTATATGTTAAATTCATATTTATTACTTTCATAGAAAAAAGCCTTAATAAATATTCTGAGCACACTGCTGAAGGTCCTGAGTACTTACTAATACAGTATGGTATTACCTTGACAAAATCAGAAGTTTTCCCTCGTGTTTGACCTTTTCTGATTTTGCTTCTTTAACTACATCCAGCAAAGCTCTTTTGTCCATTGTCTTTTTACCCTCTTTCCATGTCTTGCATTCTAGTACACTTATCTTTGTGTCACTGTAACCCTGCAGCAAACAAACTTTTTAAAATGAAAATGACACATGTAAAATATCAACAAAATTGAATAATAGGTAAGAGGCTAAGCTAGGGACCGACCTCAAAGCTAAGCTAAGTCAACCTATGTTTTTTTTCTTGACAAATGAATTTGTACATGTAGAAAAGGGAAAGTCCTTATTTGGGGTCACCATATTTCCCAGCCTTAAGTACATGTAAAGTATATCAAGGCTTAATCCCAACTTCATAAGTCCTTGACTTTTATGTGAATACTATATAATAATAATAATAAATAATATAACAATCTGAAATTCATAGTAGAAATACTTTGAGTTACTATAGTAAACACTTTGATACTATAGAAAACTAGAGTTAACTATAGTATTTTTAGGGTGCTAGTATATTAAAATTAGACCCTCAATTGTGGCCCCAACCTAGCCCTCTGAAATCGCTGAAAGAGGACGACTGCTCATCAATATGACCAAGAATGACTCTGCTTTCTTTAGAAAAAGATATTTTCCTAAACATTGTCATGTAAATCTTTGAACGCCTATTCCGACCCAATCCTACCCAAAGGAGCATCTGATCCTAAACTACTTCATTACAATGCATTAATCTGAAATTGGCTTCCAAAAATTTTTGTCCCTCCGATTTTAAATAAAAAAAAATTAAAAGATTTTTCTCCCTTATTGTAAAAGAATTCATCCCTCAAGTTTGGACTCATCCCAACCCTATAGAAAAAATATTTGTAACACAAACTAATCCATCCTAACGTTAAATGCTTCCACATAGCATGGCTAATTGTGGCGATTTAAATGTAAGAGGATTTTAAAACAGAAAAAAATTATATCGGTTTCCTGTATATCTTTTCATGAAACTACAATCCTCATTTCTTGTCCCACTCATGTTCCCACTATCAGGAAATGATTTGATTAAATTGGTTCTTTATTCAAACAAATCTTATTTATTACAGATGTAGCCCTATTCCTCTTCGACTTATTTTCAAAATATTTCCCCCCAATTATTACTGTTATAAAATTTGAATCTTAGTTGTGACCCGTGCTTTCCACAGGCTAGGGAATTAAAACAAACTTTAGTCAACAATATCTTAGAATTATTCTATATCAATATGTCTGACTGTAATTTTTTGAAGATAGATTCTCATAAAGTCAATTCTATATGTACCCCAGTAATTCTTTGACTCTATTATTGCCCCCTTACTCAAAAGTCATAGTTTGAACAAATTGATATACGCTTTATAAAGCTTTCATTGACATTTTTTCCTTTGGGACCAATGGTTCGAAATGATCCTCGACATACATGTAACTGCTCTTTCGTAATTATTTTCCATTTAAAGACAATTAAGCCCTGCATTTGAACACTCCCGTATTTCCGTTACTTCGTGGGAAATGCAGTTTAGCTTTTTCCAGAAACTCTTGAAAAGACATGAACAATTTTAAAAGTTTACAGACAATATACAATTTTAGGTTAGAAAAGCTCTCCTGATGAGTTAAAACGGATGTGTGTATGAACTTTTCAAATATACATTACCTGTGGCTGAAGGGCGATGCTTCTGGTAGACAAATTTGCTGAATTTGTTGACGACGATAGTTTTATTGTAAAGTTTCCAACAGTCTTATGATCATTTTTTGACGGTACCCAAAGAGTAGACTTAAAATATGCAATAAAAATATTTCAGAAAATTAAAATTAATGTAAAATGTGATGATTGATTTGGTATGGAACATGTTGAAACTCCAATAAATAATCATTTATTTATATTTTTCTATTAACTCATATCTGTCAAATTATTAAACACCAAACTGAACTTGAACAGAGACACTATTATCGTAGTCTTAAATAGCATCATCTCTTACAGATTTCAATTCTTTCAACGGACACAGAAAAACAACCACACCGACATCAAAATCCCTGATGAGTCTGAGGAAGTCCTCAGTGTAGTCAGGAAGTGGATATTGAGCGCTGATGAGACAGTCGTTTTCCGTGAAAGACTGGAAGAAAAATTAATTTTATATGTATAAATTATTATTAGAAGTATCAGTGATCAATCTCTTAAGCCAAGACTGGATAAGTGCCAAACGACGGGTATCATCAGGCACAGATTGAAACTGTCCACAAGCAGAAGCAGAGATTACTTGTTCATGTTTGACGTTTACAATGAAAATGTGAAGAAAAGGAACTGTGATCATTATCATAATCAATGTTGAATAAATTAAAAAAAAAAAAATATTATAATGTTTTTCTGTTGTACACATTTTATCACTTATATGAACATCACACACGTATAAATATATAATGTTAAATATAATACTATAGCACTAAATACACATTTATAATTGCGTAGTGTTAAGTCTGTTATAATTTTTCAATTGAGCATTACCTTGTACTTTTCATGTTCAACTGCATTTAAGATATATATCTCATCAACATCTTTTAGCTTTCTGGTTACTAATAAGGAAATGATTTAAAGTTTCTAAGATTAATACGCATAATACGATTTGTGAAGAAAAAAGGAACCTGAAGAAGAACAGCATTATAGTAGGTGTTTCTTCCCTTTGAATATGACAAGCGACACAGATATTCGTCAACTGGAAAAATAGAGTGTGAAATGAGATTTAAATTGATCTTTGTAATTTAAAAAAAAACATGAAGAATAAGATGAATAAAAAAATATATTACAAAAAATAAATATTGTTTTATGTGATTGTATTGATGACAAATATTTAATTTATTCTCTGAGTAGGGTTTTGATAAGCAGGAGAAAAATTGGATAAGAAGAATTTGAGATGTACGTGGCAATACGCTTGATGAATAGTTTGCAGATTTATTGCTACGTCCAGCTTCATAATCTTTCTGTTCATATTCTTTCCGAAGAGACAGCAACTCCTACAAAGGAGAAACATCAAGCGAAAGTTTCATGAAAGAAGAAATTAAAAAAAAAAAAAAAAAAAAAAAAAAAAGCATGGCCTTTACAAACTTTGTCGACGTTTGGAGCGGTTGGAACAAATTTCTCATTTTTTTATAGCAATCCACACTTTTTTTTAAAACTATATCTTAGATAAGTGTCTACAATGATTCTGAATACGATCAGAAGTATTTTGAAATCTCAGAATATTTGGTTTTTTCTTCGTTCAATGTAAGACTACATTAACGGAGGATGCAAATTTTCGAATGAAATATAAACAAGATCAGCAAAGTATTTATTTTCTTGCAAATGCTGAACTTAATCATTATTTTATTTTATTTTTCTTTGAAATAATGAACATTAAAATTTAAAAATTAATTGGTTGTCAGTATCATAAGATCACCTGGAGTTCGGAAGACAAGGACGATTTTGTTGCTACTTCCCCACAGTTGGTATAACAAGATTGTTCTTGTTGTTGTCGTATAAAAGACTCTGTTGTTAAACAACGTGATTTTCCATTGAAGGATTCACAAAGGGCAAGGTAAACTGTTTTATATTGATCCTGAAAAAAAGATCCGGAATTAATTGATAACACACAAATTGAAAACAAAAATCAAAAATGGAGAATACCACACTCATTACAAATGAAGAGAATACTGCACCAATAATCTTATTTCATGCAATTGCTCTTCATTCATGGAATGGTTTGCATTTATTTGAAAATTTTAATTTCTGTATGGTTAGTAATGTTACAAAAAATTGTAAAGTAATGAAAAGCACGTTAACATTAATTATTATTTCTTCTGGTCGGTTGGTATTGTTGTCTTACATCACATTTATCATACATTTTTGGTAGTTATTTCCAAAGAATACACATATACACTAAATTTTTGGGAGTGTTTTGTCTGGCTATACCTTGTAAATTGTCTCTAAGAATGATATCTTAGTGTAATTAAAATTCAAGACACAGATATACATCAGATTAGGAAAGATACAAGGAAAAATAACATCATGGTATTTGAGTACTGTGCAAAATTCATTATGACCTTTGGTATTCCATTGCACAAACCATTCCTGTTGAATAACTAAGTTTGCCCTCCACGCAGTAAATTTATCACACAGATTTGTTTCCTTTTCTCATCTTTTTAAATCTGTATAATTCACATATTGAGATAAAAGTTTATCCAATGTCATTATAAGGAAATTATGTGAAGGGTTTTCTTTTATAATACATAAGTACCTTATTCTCAAGGATATCATTTGCTACAAATTTGTCCTTATCAAAAACAAAAAAATTACATAATTCGTACAATACACAAAAGCATGTTTGTTGTTGGACAAAATTAAACTATTGGGAAAGAATTAAACAAAAATATGTTTGTTTTCTTAAATTGAGGAAAGATTTTTTAAGGAAATATTCACTCAGGGAAATTTCTTTAGATTGGACTATCAAATTTATTTTGAAAGACTTGACAAACATCTCCATGCAGTCAATTTAACACAGAAAGTATTATGTCCATAAAATAGCCTATTTGTTAGCTTAAGGGTGTTGAATTATTTAAGGAAAAAATTTAAAAAAATGTAACCATTGGGATTTTTGATTTGTCATAGTGGTCATTTTCTTTTCAATTCTAGAGATGTTAAATTGTCATTGCAATTAGTTAGTTAGAGCTCTTCTAGAAAAACAAATAGACATATGCTTATTAATTATATCAATGTGGCAACACTGTTTTTATTCCTTTTTTCCTTTGTAAACTTATTGGGGGGATTATTTGTCTGCAGTGTCTTATGGCTTGTTTGTGGGCAGAGATATATCGTGAGAATCATCCACCATGGTTGCATTAGGTTTGAAATTAATTTGCTGTTTCTTAATTTCATCGAACATTATGATGAAATGTATATTGAGACCGCTAGATACGTTTACTTCTGTGTAAATTGGCTACGAATCTTAGAAGGATAAATAAATGTGATCAGGAAAGTGCTTTCAAATGACTAAATATTAAATAAAAATTAATTTCCTGGACAAAGGTTCTGATAAGCATATTTACATCGCCTTGTATCATGTTCATTCTGTCTTTTCTCATGGTCCTGACGTACATCGGTACATTAACTTTACCATTTCTCTCCCCTTCCCGATAGAGGGCGTCTAATGCAATGTATGTTCCGGTTCTACCAATACCAGCACTGGAAATATCAGCAAATCAAAACCAACCTCAACAACAAATTGTATTCTTTAATAAAGATATCTCAATTTGAGGTTTATATAATTGTAGTTTTCAATATTCATTTGAGTCATCGGCATGTGTATTTTAAAAAAATACATGTAAGTGTACCAAATACTGCGATTCATTTCAAAAGTAAAGTATTTCTTAGCACACCTCCAAAAAGAATGTTTACGCTAGATCAAGAACTCATAAATCTAAAAGGAGACTGCATATATTTGAACACTTTAAAACATATTTCTTTTGTTTTCAAATAATCAGAATGTATCAGAATAATCATTACTCTAACCAGATATTGAAAATGTTAATCACTAAAGACATATAAGACATATATCCTTAGCCGCCCATGCTCAATAAATCATATAACATTAGTTAGTGATACTGGTCTCTAATTTGAAACTACACAGAATTTATTCACAACTGCATTAAAAATTCTTTTTCCAAATATTAAGACAGGATTCAAATAATTTTGATTTGCTTGTGTTAAGAATGGTCATTCAACCAGAGAGAAATAGAGTAATTTTTGTAAAGAGGAAATATTTTGATACAACCTGCAGTGCACAACAGTGTATTTGCCATGGTACTGTGATGACACTCTCGTCACGTGACGGTGGAACACAACAAGACTTAGTGGATCAGGGACCCCATGATCTGGCCATCTTGTGTAGTGAAACATCAACACTTCCCTTGTTGCTTTTTCCTATAATGACATAATACAATACTTAAATACATGTAAGCTTTTTGTTAAGAGATGGAATAAAGAACATGAGTAATGTTTAATATATGGCTTGTCTAATACAAGCGAAAGAAGTAAATTTGATTTAAAGAAATTTATGTTTCTATCGTTGATATAATTCTTGGAATTTGCTTACGCAATAACATCGAGAAAGTGTTTAGAACGTGGTCATTGGACCAACGCTAAAAAATTGTTTGGTTACCCTCTCCCGACCGACTGGATAAAAATGGCCCGCTCAAAACTTTTTTTAATCTCCAGGAAGCAATATTTTTATGCATTCCGGAAAATAAATTTTGAAAATTCAGCTTGAAATTGAAATTTTCTGGAAAACATTTTCACACCTACCTACTGACCCATTTTTTTCATCTCAAGTCGAGAGAGAGGGCAAGCAAACATTATTTTTAAGTTGGCCTTAATTTTTTGTTATTTAATAAACTATGTTTTCATTTTAACTTTTAACAATCCAAACGTATTATATTTTGAACTACTGAATAGAAATCGGAGGTCCCGAGCATAGGTTGTTCATTTTTTGTAATATATATATATATATATATATATATATATATATATATATATATATATATATATATATATATATATATATATATATATATATATATATGATCTCCCATGATTTGTAGTTGGATATGATTTTTATCCAACGAGTTGTGTGTTTTTTTTATAAAAGTCATATCCAACTACAAATCATGGGATTCTTTTTATCCCATGTGTAATACTTCACAACTAATGTTTTACACTGTTTTATACAGGACTCCACTTTATTATACTTCATCACTCTAGCGCAAAAACCATTGTGACGTCACAACTGCACTTAACTGTTTAATATGAAAAAAAATTATCCAATGAGTCATATCCACGGGGTAAACATGGTAAACATGGGATATATATATATATATATATATATATATATATATATATATATATATATATATATATATATATATATATATATATATATATATATATATATATATATATATATATATATATACAAGGGTAGTTGGATATGTAATGTGCATCGTATGGTATCTCAAAAGCATTTGACTCAAATAGTGGTATGAACATTACATCCCTTCAAAATGTTCTTCTCGGTTTGAAATATATTATTTTGATCTCTGAAAACGTTTCTGAAATGCGTCACGGTACGCTGATTTAGGTAGACCTCTGAGGCACTGACTGATGGCTGAGCCAAGGGCTTTTCGGGACTTGTAACTACGCCCAGATAAGACCTTATTAGGTTTTGGAAAAAAGGAATACGTCGTACGGGGCTGGATATTATGATGGGTTTGACAAGACTGTAACCTTCTCCGACTTCATAAATTGCTTCACAAGCTCAGATGTATGGGATGGAGTTTTATTATGAAGTAGATGAACATACCTAGATCCTGACATAGGGTGTCGTTTATGATAATATTTCTTGAGCTTTTTTAGTATAACATCTCGGTAATAACGACCCGTAACATTTTTGCCCTTCGGCAGCGGAATTTGTACGTCTATACAATTACATGAGAAGAATTTGCAATAAAGATTCTTTTTTGCGCTAATGGTTCTTTTGGCAACTGTAGGCCTTCTACTGTGTTTAGTTAGCTATATTTTCTTTCCAATTTTTCTTACTGGTTCGAAATATTGAATCCATGTTTGGTCACCAGTAACAATGTTTGCAAATTGTTTTTGATTGAATTTGGGAAACATTTTGGGCAATTGCTTCTCAGTTTGTACTCGTATTCGTTTTTGGTCATCTGTCAATATAAGCAGTATCCATTTGGCAGAAATCTCTGGTGATTTCAAAATACCCTTCAAAATGAAACGTACCCGCGATAGCGATATGTCAATAGCTTTGGCAATATCGCGAATCGTTTATCTCACAGCCAGGTTAAGAATTCCCATATCTACGTCAGCCTATGCAGAGGTTCGGGAAAGCTATGATGACGTCACATTAAAACAATTCAAATGAATCTCGATGAATAAATACTATATGTACTTTTTAAAACACAATAAAATACTTTCGTTTCTCATAAATATTACAAAGATAAATTGATGTGAAACTTATCTTGCCAAAATAGCACTTTGAGTTTGTAGAATGAAAGCCAGTTTGATCTCGCTGTACTTACTGGGATGACGTCATTTCCAAGTTTGACACGCAATTTCTCTGTACTTAGGGCGTGGATCAAGCTATTATCGTAGCTTGTAAAAATGAAAATAAATACGAAACAAGCTTAATTGGACCAAATTAAATACATATTCTAAAATATATTAATTCACATTTTATTGTCAAACTAAAGTGATAATGTGTAGACCTAATATATAGCCGTAGGGAGCACATTTGTACAGTAATGTATCGGAATGAGGGGTCCAGCCTCTCGAAAATATCAAAACTTCCAAGATATCCGCTTCACTATAAATTCTGAATTTTTAAACACGTGTAGCTATTATTCCTAATACTCTGAAACGTGTTGGGAGTTGGCTGTGCATTGTTTATTTTCCGTAATGTAACATTATTCCAGTGCGTATTACATCTATTTCTGGAGTTTATAGAAAGACGGCTAAATTTTACACAATTTCGAAGCATGAGGAAGTTGCTCCCAGCACTTTTCATGTTAAGAAATTTGTCTTAAACAAAAAAGAATAAACTTAATAGCGGAAAGATACCCTTATATCGTTGAACTTTTACGATATTTGTAGTAGTAGTACACATGTTTTAATTTTAAACCTGTCACTTGACAAACAACTGATGTAAGCAATGTCGCTTTGGCCGAACTCAGCAGAGACCAGATATATAGTCCAAACACCACAATGCACATTCATCAAAACTAATGCTGTTAAAAAAAATAAAATTGTATTCATTTTCTCTGAATATATTAAGGCGTATATTTCGTGGGCGTCCTTAACATAGCTGCGCTGCCATCACTTTCAATTATTTCCCTGAATTTGAGACATTTGCCTCGCATGTTACAATCACAGTTCTGCCAGATTTCGCTGCATCTTTGACAGACTCTGTACCAGTCAGAGATTTCTTTCTCCACCTTCAAACTGTCTCATAAGATCCATATCAGACCCATAAACCCAATTCAATAAAAATCTGCATTACCAAATGACCGAGTTTTGAGCTAACTTTTATACATGTGTATAAGCTCTTATTTCTTCAATATTCTCAACCCCTTTCCCAACCATTTTTACAACAGTGGTCAAGAACTGGCTCTATTAAAATGACTATAAATTTAAAACTGCAGTGGAGCTAAAGGCTCTTGTTTTTACCGTTGGAAATGTATTAAAACAGAGTCATAAAAGAGCATCAACCGCGAAATCGTGCAAAGCGTTATCGCCCTACGATACTATCGAATACTCTCGTATCTTAGTCTTGAATGACAAGTTTTATGTGTAGAGGTATGTTAGGTCTGCTAAGTAGATGTTTTGGAAATGAATCATCATAAGCTAACCAGAAATAAATTTTTAATGATATGTATACTTTTTTTGCATATTATGGGTAGGAGTTTTTTTTTTTTTTGGGGGGGGGGGGGAATCTACAATTTTTATCTAACAAAATAACCAATAAACAATCTTTGTATTATCTAGTTAATTACGAGAGCAGCAGCAAAATTGATAACGCAGCACAGTTAAGGCTGCAGTAAGGAGGCGGGGCCTAATTTATACTTGAAATGCTTACTATAACATCACACAAAAATACAAGTTCTTCAAATTATCACAAAATGAAATGATTTGCTACTTTAAACTGTTGAATAGCTTTAAACTACATCAATACTAACTAGTGCATGCATTATTGTCGTTGGTTAAATCCCACACAGCAATATAAAAACAATTCACTGATCGCAATGCACTTGTCAATGTGACGTCATATCGTAAAATTTGACGCAGTTTTTATGCAGTGAGAGGCGGATCAAGTTATATTTATACAATGAAAAATGTATTTTGTAATTAAATAAATATGAATTGTAGATATATAAGAGGCCATTTACTTGGATGTGATGTCTATTTTATTATTTTATTCATATACTTCTCGTACATTTCCTAGACAAGCGATACTGTCTTATATTTGCATGCAGTTTCATTGAAGGGTAATAGAAGGGTTGTAATAAATCGACATATTGCAAGGGCATACCCTCAATGAATTATGACAAGCTTTTACACATAAACCCAAGAAGTATGAAGATATTTGAAAAGTGCTGCGAACCTGTTGAAATCTTGCAATTGAATTAATTATATCTATATTTAATGTATTTGACCAGCAAAATATTCAACATACGCTCTAACAAATGTAATTTTAGCAATTAGATAGTAGAATCTATATAGGTTCGCAGAACTTTTCACAAACTACAAAGAGTGTTGAAAATGATTGTATGTTAAACTTAGATTTTTAACTTGGTTATGCACTTGCAATATTAGAATTTATAGATGACCTCAATACTTCAGTTATATTTGCTAAAATCACGTGACAGCTACATCACGTGACAAGTCTAAATAAGAAATCTAATCGTCCCTAACATGTTGTTTTCATCCACATTGCTTTTGTCCGATAATAGTAAAGTCCTAAAAAGAAACGCTCATCCTTGTAAAGTATGTATTTTCTATCTAAAAAATTCGCTGATATTTCCATTTGGCACCTTAACTGTACTGCGAATTAATAAAGTATTAAGGAATAGTAACAAAGGCCACAAACCATTTGACATCAAAGGTTTTTTTTTAATAATACGTAAATACTAATTTATTGAGTGCAAGTACACGTTTTATGCAATAAAGCTTAAGTCTGAAAGTCACACTTTGATTTCAAACGATTATTATGAATATTATCCATGCTTATTTTTAGAGATCTTAAATCATTTTAGAAAGACCATTTTATGAGCCTTTAACATACCACTATGTAAGTTGCGAATTATTCATTACTTTTAAAGTGTTGCCATTACCGCTGATGACGTCACTAGTACTTC